TAATTTTAATAACAACAAGTATTAAAAAACTCGTGATAATCAATTTTATTACCATATGTTTATTTAATTTATCGCGCACGCAAAATCGAGGATTTCGAGACTTATTAAAATATAAATATTAAATTTACTAAACAGATTTTATTTAAAAAAAATAAAAAAAATAATAAATAATACTTCAAAGGCATTTCATAATATCGTTTCTCTTGTTTGATTCGCGAGTGGGAAAAGTTGGAAGATATCGGCGAAAGTACAAACAAGTCGTCCATCGCGGAAGACAAAAACGCTCTTTGTCAGGAAGCGTCAACAAATTGCAGCAAAAGTTGAGAAATCGTAAATTAATTATTTGTTACTTAATTGCAAGCAATCACGTTGCATAATCAAAACAAAAACAAACTTAATATAAACAATACAGAATTTTACTAAAATTTTTCTGTGATCGTGTGTCTGATATCTCGCTCATTAAACTATACAATGTGCTCACAAAAAAAGATCTTTTTTTTTTCGGGATTACCATAGCGTACTGTCCGAATGACGTTTCGACACGCGCGGTGTTTAGAATTTCACACAAGGATCTGTCCGAACAACTCCTTTCAGACTTTGCATAATATCAGCGAGTAAATTGGCGTTTCTCCATAATATATACTTCGAAATTGATCAATTTCCCTTACAACACCGATCCAAGACGGATTCTTACTTCCGATAGTCAGTTACCTGTTCAGCGCGAGACTATAACCGACAAGTATATATTACAGGACAACGTGTTGCTATATAAACTGTCCTTTATTGAATCTATAATCTTGATAACATTTATGTCAGGAAATATTTTTAGCGCTTTTGATCTATCATGTCGTAACTTTTCTTGTAAAAAATTATATTATATTAAACTCTGTAATTTTTTAGTTATCATAAGATCTATGTTATATTTTTGTTCCTTCTTCTTCGGAGATGCAAATTTATAAGAATATAATCACATTTCCACAAGATGGTGTGTGTGCTGAGCGTATTTAAAGATTAATTTTCCAACGCGTCGACTTAATCTCTTCGCAAACAAAGCACACGAAAGCATCAAAAAATCTGAAAAACAAATTTCTCGACGTTCTTTACTCGCGTAATTAATTTTTGCCTCGCCTGCAACTATTGATCCGTAGATTTTCGGAGACGTGACGACGCACTGATGACTCTGAACGCGCCAGGCGAGACACGAACACGCTTCTCCGCGTTTGCTTTATTTTTCAAAGCCACGAGATGAGAAAGGGATGCAAGTCCCTTTTCGAGCCGTGTCACTCGTGCGAAAAAAAAAATAAATTTAGAAAATTTATTTTACTGGGTTGTCGTTTATCACCGGCAAAAGTTTCTTTAGTATTGTAAATGAAAATACTATACATAAAAAGCTGTTCAAAACTTGCAACTGACACTTTATGCTTTGACATTTTGTTTTTAATAAACAGAGACACGCATTGTTTTGTAATTAATCACAACTTTCCGTGGTTAATTGCCTTTCGTGTTAAAATGGGCTTAACTTGTTTTGAGGTTTTGCACATTGACCGGAATAAACTCGTTATGGTTGCATCTCCGGGAGCTGCTCTTAATCGACTGCTTTTAGTTGTAGGAAACGAATTAGAGGAAAAGAGAGAGAGAGAGACGCAATGTGCTTAGTTAAGTTAATTTTTCAACTATAACATACGCGAAGAGAATAAAGTCATTACCGTTGCAATCTCGTTTTTTTTTAAATTGCTTAGTTTAGATAGTGAAAAGGAGATTACGAGAAGAAATGAACTTTGTTTTAAGATCAAACCAAAGATTTCATCTTGGTCTCTAGTTGTTCTATACTGCCTTAATCACGGAAAGCAAGTTTTAATTTTAATCGAAGTTAGTAGGATAACTACGTTTTATTATACCTACAGTTTTCACTAAAAAATATTCCAATCTCAATAAAGTAAAAAAAAAAATCTAAAAGACTTCAATAGATTGCCCAAGATTCAATAAGTGATTCTCAATCGTAAGTAAGAATTAGATTGTTCAAAAATCAATCAGTGATTCTCAATTGTGTAAGTAAGAATCTCCGTAATTGCTTCTGAATTTGTACTAATGCTTATTCGGCCGATTGTAACGGTGAGGTGAATCTAACAAAGGAGTGACAAAAGCGTCTTTCAAAGACATCTTACGCGTCTCTTATTACGTCAGAGAGAAAAGGAAGGCTTCAAAGTTTCATATGACAGGAGAGCGCAATTGACGGAGCGATGGAAGCCCGCGTCGTATACTGAAATCGTCTCCGGGATCGCGTCGTGAGATTAAATCGTTCATCAGGCTTCGAGCGGAAACGCCGCACAATAATTTCTCAATGTCAGGCGCAGTTTCACGAGCCCGCGCGCATAAAATCGCGCGAGAAAACAGTAACCATAAAGATAATTTGTCATTTGCGAAGATCGTTCATCGACGTAATAAACATTTCAATCTCTCAAGCGAAGAAGCTTCTCTTCTGCGCGGCTAACCCGGTTATGACGAGCGCCACTTTTTTTCCGCTCGAGTCATATTTTTCAATCTTCTTACGCAACATTCATTACATCTCCGTTTTGATTATGCATAAAAGAAATACGCGAGTATAGTTCGCGTAATCGAGTATTTGTATCTCCGCGACGACGACGTCGATTATTTCGTGCCCTCGGTATCGACACATAAATTTGCGCGACGATAAATTCGGCATAAATTTGAAATTAAAATGTACGAATACAAATGGCTCGTTATCGGTGAGAGAGATCGATCAACACTATCGCGGATTGTGGGATTCAAATTTGCGAGAACGCCGATATTTGCGAGTTTTAGGGGGGAAGTCTTATACGATAGATATCGTATTAATCTCCCCGCGGCGACGGATCGTTCCGCTAACAATTTAAATTCCCCGATCATTCGTCACCGATAGCTCACCGTCTTATCCCGCGGAATCTTGCGAGAGAAATCTCCGAGAAAAATAAGTGGGATTAAGAACGAGAGATTATTGACGAGAGGATGAAAAAAAAGAAAAGAAAGAGAGAAAGAAAAGAAGAGACGAAAGTTGAGACGCGATTATTCTTCGCGTCAGATACATAATTTTCAACTTCGAGACTGCCGAAACTTCGCGTTCGCGGATCGGCCGAGTTCTTCGTCTTCTCATAATGCGCGACCGCTTAGTTAATTTCCTCCAATGCAGGGCAATCGTAATGGCAGATCGCCATTGCGACTCGATGGGGCGGAGAATAAAATACTCATTTTCACAAAAACCGTAGCATCCGAAGCATCGAATTGTTTCGTAAACTAGCAAAAACAGAAACGTACTTCTTTAAGTGATATTTTATCAATATATTGTAAAAAATCGTTTTCTTTTTTCTTTAGAAAATTCTAATAATAAAATCGTTACTATGATGATAGTTAGAGAGGTTTTTCTCAAGAAAAGAGAAACGTGAGAAGGACATTTGTGATAGGACGCCGTGAAGAAAGATACAACATTCGCAATAAAGAGCCGTCCATCTCGTGTGCCATTTCATTTTCTCTACCTATTTCATGCAGTCTTCCTGACGTGCGCTTCTCTAAACCAGAGAAACGTTGCGCTCTATCACGGTTTTGAGCACGAGAACAAAGGTTGACATCCCGTAAAGAAGTAGAGAAGACAGAATGTAACTGTCGTCGAAGTCCGGAATGTGAAGTGCGAAAGTGTACATAAAGTGTATATAAAGTGTATATAAAGTGTTGGAAAGAACTTCAAATATATATAAAATCGGAAAAAAACTTTATCTTGTTCTTGATAATTTTCGAGTTAAGACATTTAATACCAGGATAAGTTTCGTCCGTTTTTTTTTTTTTTTTTTTTTTGTCTATTTCACCATTAAAAGATCGGTAAATTTTATCAGTAAAGTTAACGCGAATAGCGCCCCGTAAAAAGACAGATATTGCGTTATCGTACGCGTTTCTTCCTAACGATCGCTTAACGGTCCATTAGCGAAAAGTTATTAAAGTGCTGAAAACTAATAGTAGATTAGCGAAGAGTGTCTTATTAGATTTCGATCTTAATTTACTCGTAATTTATTCGATATTGTGTAATTTTTTTGCTATAAAACAATACATACACATTTAAAACGGGATCGAACCGAAGTAGGATTTTACAAGAACGGGATGAGTAATTGAAATCGGAATTTACATCGAAAACTCCACTCTCTCTTCTTTTAATTTATTTTTACTTTTTGTATTTATCTTTTTAATTATATCGGTTGGCCAAAGAAACAGAACAAGTTATTTTTCAATCACAGAGTTTGTGTTCCAGAATGTTGATTTCCAACTTTGTTTAATTCGCTTTATTTCTAAATATAATTAATTATCTGCAATTGATTTACTCTTAAAAACAAATCGTTACAAATAATGTAACAAAATACAATCACATATGTAATTTATTGAATTTTGTTTTTACTAAGATTTTACGACGTTTGAATTAAAAGAGCTTAATTTCCCTTGTTACTTCCGTATTTTGATATTTTCGTTTTATCGTTGTTTTCCTAACAAACCTAACAAACGAGTTTTTTGCGTATCCTTCAGATAAAGGTATTATAGTGATTTAACTTTTGTTTCAAAAGGCAAAGCCGATATGCGAGAATCAATTTCAGAAAAAATCGGCTTTATCGACTAAAAATGATTTTTCTACGCATAATAAAATTGATGTTGGCAGTCAAAAAATTTCAAAGATAACCTGATGCAGATTGTTAGTTAGTTTTCAAGAAGTTTGGATCATTTCTAGCTCGTCGCCGAAAATAATCAGTATTTGCGAATTGTTAGAAATATCTTCCGCTCGCTAAGACGCGTATGTTCTCTTAATGTGACCCAGATTTAAAGTGATAAAATTGATCCATTGAATCTGATCGTTAGCGTTTATTGTTAGTTAAAGTTGAGGGGCTAACAATTTATTTATCCAGCCAAATATCCATTTATATATTATTTCATTCTATGTAACACGCACGTTCTTGTGTGTGTTCCAGGTAACTTAATGGTGATCTTCGTGGTGACGTTTTCTCGGCGGTTACGCAGCATCACGAACTTCTTTCTGGCGAACTTGGCGGTGGCCGACTTCTGCGTGGGCATATTCTGCGTTTACCAGACGCTCACCAACTACTTGATGAACAGCTGGCAGCTGGGCAATTTTCTCTGTAAGGTGTATATGTTCGTGCACGCGCTCTCCTACACCGCTAGTATACTGATCCTCGTGGTCGTGTGCATGGAGCGTTACTTAGCCATCGTTTATCCCATCAAATGTCGATCCATGTTGACCAGAAGTCGTCTTAGGATAGTGATAGGTGTGGTGTGGATACTGGCGGCAATATACGCCTCGCCCAGGTTCTTCTACGTCGAGACAATCAGCAATCGTCTCAGTACCGGCGACATCGACATCATCTGCATCGCCAATATCAAGAAACACAACAAGAATCTTCTGGACGTGGTGAACCTAGTGTTTCTTTATCTCCTGCCGCTCTCTCTTATGTGTTGCCTGTATACCAGAATCGCCGTCGGACTCTGGAAAAGCAGCGCCGCCCTCAATGGACCCGGCCTGGTAGCCAAGAGCAGAAACGGTCGTGTCCACCACGTGCACACATTGAGCAAGAACGTTCTAAAGGCGAGACGCGGCGTTATCAGGTATCTCTATTATTTCCGCTGCGCGTTATGCAGCGTTTTCGATTTCCGTTTTGGCCGAAACCAATATCCGTTCGAGGTTTGCGCGTGAGAAATGTGTTTACTTCATTCGCTATCGCTATAATTTTGCACGTGCAGTTAAACAATTTGTTCGTTAATGTTTACATTTAGTGTTTACATTTCACTTAATTACGCAATGGTCAAAACTTCGAAAAAAACATATATTGTCGTAATTATTGAAAATTACGTTAAATTATACTAAATCGGATACTTTATTAAAACTTACATTTGTTCTACTATAATTATTAACTTCGACAACATTTTTTCGAAATCTTTTCATCCTTGACTGCTTGCATTCGCTTGCAACTATACACCAACATCTCGCCCGCATGTTTTACAGAATGTTGATCGCGGTGGTAATGATGTTCGCCGTGTGCAACCTGCCGCAACAAGCGCGCATCGTCTGGCGACATTGGGGCACCAACTACGACAACACGTCGGACTTCAGCACCTTGCTGACAGTGTCAACCTTCCTGATCTCGTACATGAATTCCTGTCTGAATCCGCTGCTGTACGCTTTTCTGTCGCGAAACTTTCGCAAGGGTATGCGCGAGCTATTGTACTGCAGGGGCGCGAAAAGCCGGGGCAGCGCCTTGGCGATGGTGTGCGCCAGCGGCGACCACAATCGCCACGAGAACGGGGCCAGCACCAACATGCCTCACAGCTCGGTCGTGCGGTTGAGCTCGATTCAGGATAGCCCGTGCACCACGCAGACCATCGCTCGGCATAGCACTTACAAGAACACCTAGTGAATCACCGCGTTCACGACGGAAAACAGATCGTGAGATCTCGACTTCGCACAGGGTACTCCAGGAGAGCTGACGGAATCCTTCTCAGGGAGAGACACAGAATGTTTTTAAGACAGTCTACATTTTGAACTCTCGGCTTGTTTATTTTGAAGAGACTAAGACAAAGTGTTGTGACATACGTATTAACGTACGTTCGGATTTTAGTCAAAAGATTTGCAAGAGATAAGAAGTATGTACAAGAGTGTCGTCTGGAGCACCCTGTTTACAGACGGCTCAGACGTTGAAGATTGTACGTTCCATTGCGAGAGAATAATCTTCTTTGAGTGTTTGGAAAATGTTTTTATTGTATACATACTGTATTGTATATACATGTATGTGCATATTCGATAGTGAAGGTACTTATTTTCAAAGTATTACGAGCCTGCAATTCGTTCCGAGTCTCGAGGAATATCGAGTAGGAAACGAATTCAATATTCGCAATTCAATTCTCAATTTTACTTTGAGAAATAGCTTTTCGATCTTCGAATCGCGCGCACCGACAATGAATTTGAAAAGAGGACACGTAGCTCAACAATTTCTTACTGATGCGTGACATTCTGGGATCTTAATCTTGGCTCATATTACGTAGTCGCTGAATATACCACCTTCGGGAACAAGATACCTCGATAAGCGGTACATTTTCACTCAAAGAGAGAGAGAGAGAGAGAGAGAATGAATGAATGGGTGAGAAAGCGGGAGGATGGGGAGTCTAGTAGCGCTTGAGTAAGTGTCAATGGCATGCAACTACGTCAAAATGTATATGTGTGATGCAAAACTAATTGTAAATACGGAATTTGATCGAAGAGAGTAAGAGCGTGAGAGAGAGAGAGAGAGAGAGAGAGCTTATTCAGTACGTATTACGTACCTCCGTTTCCATATTCCTATTCTTTGTCTCACGGCGCATTAACAATGCGAGCTATTGTGAACCTCGTCCGCATCCACTCGGTTTAACATTGCGCTCGAATAGGCACCAACAAGAAACAGCATTACGCAACCGAAATATGATCGATACACATATTGTATATTCATATTTATCTTCAGCTTTGCATGTATCAGATTTGCCGATATGTAATATCGATACAATCGAGAAATATAGCTCCGCAAGAAGATTGTTTTTAATAGATATATATCTATATCCGCGGGCGCGCACTACTCCAGTTTCAGATATGTTATATATAAGTATATTGTGTTGACGTCTATATGCTTTGTGCCTCATGGTGATATTTCTCGATTCTCTTGAGTTAAATACTGATATTTGCTAGATTTTTTCAGAGAGAGAGAGAGAGAGAGAGATGGTGCTCGAATAACGCACCATTTATTCAACGAATCGATTGTTGTACTTGTCGAGAAAATCATACTTATCGGAAGTGTGTGAAAAAAGAACCAAATCGCACGTGCGAATAAGTGAGAAATTCTATTTGAAATTTATTATCAGATTAGATTAATGTCGAATAATTAGTCAACAATAATATATACTGTCAAAAGTAAGTAGTTAATTAAATTAAATTTAAAAAAAGTGCGATGTTATCTTTGGCAAGTTTCTGCATTTACAATCCATTTTTGTATTTTTGTTATATATTTCGAAAAGATAAATATTTATAATAAGTTAACAAGGCACAATTAATTTTTGTCTAGAATATTCTTTATTCTGTAAAAGTCGGAATGTATTTATATAACATATCGTAAATAATATGTAACATGTAAATATATGTATATTTATATACAACATGTAAATATATATGTGTATATTTTGAAAAACGTATATTGCATTTATGCTCGAATCTATTCTAACAAACACTAACAGAGCTTGCAACAAATTGGTATTTTCTAAACGAAAAATAGGATGGCAACAATCGATTGGCCAGAAACATTTAGCATTGGCAGAAAGTTAATTAGTTTGACACGAGAACAGAGATGCAATTAAGATTCCCGATTGGGAAGGATAATTTGTCTGACACCGGATTGTGGAGTGAGACTATTTGGCACCTTTGAATTTTTAGTATTTGAGCATCCTCCGTTTATACTTCGTGTTGAACGTGTGTGCTACACACAAAATGAGATTAAAAAACGAGTATTCCCAGCGAGAAATTACGAAAAGTGATAAAACTCCTTCTTTCTCTACGATAATTAATCCTTCTGATGAACAGTTTCGAAACCATTATTGTGATTACTTATTTTATTTACGATCGACTTTATTGTCAATTAATCAGCTCGCAAAGTGTTGTTTATATATACGAAGCTGCTTGCTTCGTAAATGACAAGGTAACCGAAACAGTTCTCCAAGTATAAAACATCGTTGAAAATGTAAGCATCACTTTGACGTGACGACGCATAATTTGTTTTTTGTTCGCGTAAGAAGCGCAAAATATACATATATATTTTCTCCGTGTTGTACACATTCTCAACAGTGCGTCTCCAAAGGCAAAATTGCATTCCGACGAGCAAACATTTTTCCCCTGTGACATCTCACAGACTTAAATGTTATTGACGCGTGCATTTTGGAACGCGTTGAATTTAAGATGAGAAGAAAAACTAATAAGTAAAAAAAAAACACTAATTTTATTTTTAAAAAAATTCTACGTCCAAGAACGTCATTGTAAGTATACTTTTTCTGATTTATTTATGTGCAGACAATGTTTTCTTGTCGTTAACGCAATTTCTACATTTTTAATATATCTTGTGATTTTTACGGCTTGTAATCAAACATTTCTGGATTTGTCGCGATACTGTTCAAAGGATAAATCATTTCGGTTATCGATACATATTAAAAGCGCGTGTCCTGTTATCGCACATCGCATTCAAACGATACGCTAATTGTGAGTGTAAATAATCCGCTTTGCTATTGGAATTAACGATATTACTGTTTGCGATTGTGACATTTATGAAAATTCAAGTTATTTTTATCCGGAGTCAAAATACTTGAATTTTATTATAGCTTATCAGCGAAAGAGATATACGTACGTACACTGCGCAATACGAGAAATGAGATGTACGTGTATACGTTGCACAATTATTGTAAATTATTATTGACCGAAAATTGTTCGTTCGATAAGCAGCATTAATTTGAAGGAGAACAAAGAGCTGTTCTCTATAAACGTAGTAATAACATGTGCGTTATTATTACGTAATAACGTTTTCAAAGAAAAACATGAACATCACAAGCAAATACTCATTAAAAGTGAGTGTTTTGTTTAAATGTTTCGTCTGTGGAACAAATAATTAAAAAAAAATTCGTAAGATAATCCAGAAGTGAGTCTCATACTTTTTATCAAATTTTTCTTCAAAAGTATTTTTTTGTTCTTAGTTTTTCTTTTTCTTCTCGGTTTAGTTCACATTAATCTTGTCTGTCCATTAATGAACCAAGTCTTGACAATTTTATTTGTCACTTTGAGCGGATATTTAGGATATAGCACTTGATACTCTACAAAGGATTTTCTTTGTGTGTCCTCCGCTCCGAATATCTCTTTCCTTAAATTACATTCTGGGACGTGCTTTAGTTACAACAACAGCGCGATGATATGATGACGGAAAACACATTAGATTCGGCAAAAGTGCGAGTAAAATAATTGTGTTGTATATGCGATTCGCGGTTTTATTGAGAAACGTTTTTTCGCCGTTAGCTTGGCAGATAACACGAATTTCGCATTAAATGTGGAAACGACACGGGTGTTTGGCAATGATACAAAAAATTCCCTGATCGACTTGAAAGCGCGGCGAGATGTGTGTTAGAAAGGCCGATGTTTTAGTTTTTTTTTTTTTTTTTTTTTTTTTTCATTTTTACTAATAGACTCTCGTCGGCGATCACATAATGGACGTGCGAAAGATAAAAAGTTTCCGAAACGAAGTCGCGAAATTGTAAGATAAATTAAAAATTTAAACCAAAATTGAAGAAAATTAATTCATGGTTTAATTGTATTTACTGAGATACGTTATGTCAACTAGCAGATAATATTCGTGCACACTTCAAACATGCATTGATGTATATTGATATTCATATACTCTCTGTATAAATCAAACTTTACATCGCTGCAAGCATCTATAATATAACCACAAGGCGTCATTAATCATGTTCCCTTCTATCGCTTCTGTCAGGTTGAAGTTCTTCGTAAGAATCTGTAATTTACAAGTTTGCGTCACGTAATGGTTTGTATCGTGTGAATACACAGTATCCCCGTAAAACTCCTCATGAACATATTTCAACGTACACTGTTATTATTTATATTCTTCGATGGAAAATCAATTTTTCCGAGAGATATAAAGTTTACATGGGTGTTTGTTACCTCTCCTTCAAAATATAAACATAACGTAATTTAAAAAAAAAAAAAAAAAAACAGAGTCGTTTACTATTTCTAATATTTTTAGAAATATACAAGATATACTTGTATATTTTTAACTTGTGATATAAGTCCCGTGTTATCTCATATCGAACGAATATTTCGAGGATGTGAAAGCATAACGCGATGCGATAGACCTATTTCCGATACAGTTTGTCGTAGTCTATATTTCCCAAGCGGGAGTTTAAAGCTTAAGGATCGTTACGAAAGTTGCTTAATATCAAATATTAAAGGATGTAACGATAAATTAGCTTCAAGAGCGTTAATTGATGACAAAGTTCTTGTTATCAGTTACTCTCTCTCTCTCTCTCTCTCTCTCTCTCTCGTGGTTTCAACGTGGAATCTTCTTTTAGAGATGTCCAATGATAAAACTTTCGAAAGCTTTCGATGAAGAAGTGATCATGTTGCATTTAGAGACCAGAAACAATTAGGCGAACAATTTGTCAAAGACAAATTGCGGAGAATTATTTGTATGTATACAAGTCTGAAAAACATGATTCAAATCAGAATACGTTACGTATGTTCTCTCATACTCAAAGTGTGCTCCGCAGTTATATTTTATCTTCGTTTTGAAGAGAAATCGACCTCTGACAAGAAGAACTTTCGTGAGGATTTTTTTTCCCGTGTGTGCGGAATTAATTTTTCTGTTCTTTCTTATATTATTCTTAACTTCTCGAAAGTATCACTATACAAAAGGTATCACTATCGAGACAGATAAGTAATCGCTTGCGCGACAGAAATATGTCCGGTTTCACATGGAGAATGGAACAGAAACTCTCTCGCGCGCGCGCGCGCGCTTG